ATTGCTGACAAACTGAAATAGGATGATTTCTGGAGGAAAAGAATCACTGTGAACTGATTTAGAAACAACAAGAGAACACGAGGTAGACGCTGAGCGAGCCATCAGATATTGAGAGCGAGCCTAATCATCAGTTTTTATCAGGAAATCCTTCGTCCCGAATTAAAATTTACGGTGAGTAATTAAAATCAAATTAAATCATGATTAGAAGTTAATGATTATGATATTTTCAGGGGATTTCTTCCAAGATCTATCCAGAATATTGCAGTACCAGTTCACCTTCTGTACTTTCCTGGACCAAAAGACGCCGCGAATAAAGATCAACGCTTTTTGATGGGGTGTGATTCAACCTGATTCCCGGCTCTAGATCTCGCTGACGCTCTCGCTAGCGTTTACTCGGAATATTCACCATTCGTGGTATTAAATACGGAACTAACAATGCAATGAGTCGCGACCTTTATATTTTTTTAGCGAAATTATCTCAAAAATTCGGTAAGAATTGACACCAAAAACTTCCATATAAAATAATGCTTATGATTTTGAATAATTTTAATTTTGTGGGAAAAGAGAGAAATAAAAACCTTGCATAAAATGCACTTTAAATTTGTGTTTTTTTGGGCTATGACGGAGAATTAAATAGTTAATTTGAGATATTTTATGACAATTTCCGCGATACTTTGCTGTCTGCAAAGTATAACTGAGTAATTGCCGATAGCGCCGCGTTTAGCATTAAAATCGGCGCTGTCTGCTTAACTGTAGCACAGAAGCACGAAAGCTCCAAAGCGCTAGAGCATAAAAGGGTCTTAGAGCGAGTGCCCTAGAGAGAAGTCCCCGCTCGAAAAAAGTCCCTCTACTGTTATAAAGGTTGAGTCTGTTCGGCGTGTCAGTGGTTCTGAATGGGACGTTGCTCGCTCCTTTTGCTTAGACACTTTTTTGGATGGCACGATTGGTCTCACGGTATCTCTCAAATGCCAACTAGTACGAGTGTTGGACATTTACAATTCACTGATCACCGTATCACAGCAGGGTTCTTCTTAAGCGATTCACTTTTGTTACTTCACTTAAGACCGCTTTCTGACACCAATGTAGCGGAAACTACATTAAAACGCACACAATAAGTTTAAGACGTCTTTATTCTGCGCTCTGTCGATAGGAACTGGAGTACAATTTGGGTGTTCAATACTTTTATGATTATGCTTGCTCATTATTGGAATATAATATTGAGGGCATATATTTGGGTTCTGCAATCGCAAGCTCATTTACAAGTAGGTGCTGTTTCACAACAATATTTTTCCACGTTATTTGGTTCTATGTTGACCTCTTCACAGATGCGATCAAGCGTCTCCTTGTATGATCTCCAATTGATACTGGTCGGAATTACCTCCTCGATTAATGAATCTTCATCAGGGCCATTTGTATTGCTCCTCCTTGCAGCATCGCGGGTTAAACCCTCAATCCCGACAATAATCGGGATGTGATCACTTCCCAGGGTATTATCTAAAATCTCTCATGTGCAATGAATAGCCAGGGCACTAGAAACGATCGAGAGATCGAGAACGCTGGGTGTTGCTGGTGGGCATGCAATTCGCGTATATCTTCCATCATTTAAGACCGACAAACCGTGGCGCTCCACCCATTCTTCAATTATACGGCCGTTGGCATCCAGATCCTCAGAACCCCACAAGGGACTGTGCGCGTTGAGATCGCCCAGGAAAATCAGCATGGTTGAAGTGTCTACGCTATTGCAAAGATTATCCAGATCCGCCTCGTTTCGTCTGTTGTTGTTAGTGGAATACACTGAAAAGACCCGGAGCTTAGTTATTCCTATTTGAAGATCAATAGCAATACAATCTCCATTTAATGGCCCTGTATTCACTACGGTGAACGGAATGTTTCTTTTAATCGCTAAAAGAACACCTCCACCTCTGGCAGTTCGGTCTCTCCTCACAACATCGTATCCTGGGATGCTAATATTATTACTAGTGTCCAACTTAGCCTCTTGAATAGCTATTATATCAATGCCCAAGTCAGAGCAAGCCACAATTATATCCTGAAGTTTGGATCTAACACCATTACAATTCCACTGAAACAGTTTTATATCATTATCGACGTTCACATCCATATTAACATTTAGAGGGCTTTGAACCCAGCGAAGGCACAACCAAAGACACGAACTGATCCACCAAAGGAAAAGCAAAAGCTTCAATCAGAGACAAAAATTCCTGTTTAATTCCCAATTTGAGTAGCAGCGAGGACAAAATTTTCTTCCAACAAAAGGAGCTCCCTGAATGTTCCTGTTGTTTCCCTCTTCTCTGGCGCTGAGTGTTTTTCTCCTGACGGTTCTCCTCCTCAGGTTCAGTCTCGGCCTCCGTGTGGATCTGATTAGTACTCTCCCACTCTTCCCTCCTTTTGCGGAGGAGTCTTTTCTGGGAGATTCGTGCGCGATCGAAAGTTGTTTTTGGTCGCTTGGATTTCATCCTCACACTCTCACCGATCTCTGGAAAATCTATTTCAGAGTCCCAGACAACGTCCTCATCAAGATCATCCCCACTTAGCGCATCAAATCGGTTGCTTCCCTCGAGTGAGCGCTTCACTCCACCTCTTGACACCACATTCGCGAAGGATACGTTATGACGCACCTTGGCCTTCTTTAGATTGTCATCTACGCGCTTATCCCCTAGCCTTGCGCGGGTGATTGATACTTGGAACCGTCAGACCACAATTTGAGCAAGTAAACGAGGCATTTTCGCATTCCACCTTTCCATCTACATGCACTTTTCCACAGTGAAAGCGAGAAAAGGTGGAATGATCTCGGTGTGGCAGAGCTGGTGGCGAGATTCAGGAAAACCCTGGGAATCTCTCCTGCCGTTTGGGTCTTCTCTTGGGGGGAAGGAAATTGCACCTCACGAGCGAGTTTTCGCTCGAATGGGATGTAATCTCTTTAACCAAAGGTGACTGGCGCGAATGGATCGCGGCCGAGTTCCTTTGTGGGGTTGAGGGTGAACAATTAAACACTTGATTGCACTTAACACTTAACCTACTTTAATTCACTAACTTATTCTAACACATGACTTTAACAACATAGAAAACTGGCTCCAGCCTATATTAAATTATTTCTCCGGCTCTTGCCGTAAGAGATGAACGATGGTCTCTTGACCATGGGGAAACTACTTGCGAAGCTCGATTACTGCATCGCCCAAAAATGGGTTATTATGCACGGCCAAAAAGGCTGATTGCTTGAGCAGCGCGATAAGACAACTGAAACTAATTGTCGCCCGCGTCTCAATATATTGCAAATTTGTTTACGCTTCTCCTGAGGGAAGAAGTGTAAACGGCGGGAGTGGGAGAACTCTCCGCCCTTACTACTAGATCAGCAAAACTGATCACAGCGTGGGTCGTCCCCGCTGTTCAAGTTAGCCTAAAATTAATTATAATGGGTATTATAAGATGGGAATTATTGATACAAAATTAACACAAATAAACCCTGTTCATTTCTCATGAACATCCTGCCCGGGGACCGCGCTGGAAGATGGCTGCGATGCTCTTGCCTCTAGTAGCCTGTTGAATCTTTCAGCTAAGTCCTCATCGTTTTTCTGGTCCCTGATCTGCTTCACGCGTTGTTGTCTCCAAGTGTCACCTGCCAGGAAAGCTCCTATTAGGATGACCGTTCCTAGGATCGTTGCCGTAGGGGTTGGGCGGATCTTCCAAGATCGCTTCTGTCCGGAGCTCCTGCTCCTGGGTTCCACGTAATCTCCAGTGGTCGGTTGGAGTGTACCTTCAAACTCCAGCAGGGTGACATTGCAGGGCTTCCTCGGGAACCTGCTTGATATTTCATCAATCACGCATGTCGGTTGCTCCTTCAGACTGTGTACCGCATGTGGCATATATAAATACGCTTGCTGCGACGTCTGAGCGCATCCCTCATGGTGAAGGGTGAAGTATCTCCGGCTGTTGTAGCCGACAGCCGGCGTCTCCGTTCCAGGGTCAGGTACAAAAAATGTTCCCTTCTCCAGCCGTGCTGGAATGGGATTTACGTGCAGAAATTGGCAGCTGTTCTTCTCCAGTATCCGGAGACTGCCGTGCACGTGGATGTTCTCATTCTCCAGAATGAGCTCGACGATTGTCGTCGGAACCGTGAGTATCTGATAACCCGTACCAATCTTTGCTAACGTTCTTCTTGTGATCCTCGCCAAAGTCTTGCGTGAGGAAAAGTCTAAAAGACTCACTCTTCCCTTTTCTGCTCTCGAGAGTCGCTCCCAAACTTCGTCGAGTTCTTCAGAGTGATCGCTAGCGGCGGTGTACATAAGCCGTACCTCCAATCTTACGCGGTTGTGGTCTGATGCTGCGTTCCAACGCTGTAGGTCCGCTGTCAGTTGAACCATTTCATTAATCTTTTCAGTGTACTGCGATGGCTTGCTGTTCACTTGATCAACGCTTTGGTCCACCTTGGCGCATAGAAGCATGTTATACTGATTCGCCGATGTGTCCTGCCTACACATTGGCTACATCAAGTCGGCTACATCATTGTAAGCCTCGTCGTTGACTCCTAAACCTTCGACATAGAGCCCAGTCTGTGGCTCGAATGTACTGTAATTATGAGTCCAGGCTGCGCCAAACGTCAGTAGCGTCAGAAGTAGGAACAATAGGACTGATTTCCATGGAACACGGAAACATCCTGAAGTGCGAATTGTCCTGCTGTTGCTTTCAATTTGGTATTTCTCAGCCGCCTCCTCGTTGGTCGCCTGATCAACTGGAGGTTTTACAATCTTGATGATGGGGCGCGTTTTCGATCCGTCATCTGTCTTGAGTTCCACTACTCGGTTTACTCCATCGTCTTCAGGATGCCGCTGTTGTGGCTGATCTCTTGACCAACCTCTTCCTAGAGACCGGTGTAACCTTGTAACCTTTTTCCACTTCCAGGTGGGCTCTTCCTCCACCACCTCCTTCTCGGGCGGGGCCATCAATTGCTTTCCGATGAGGAAATCTTCCGGCATCAGGGATGTCTAATTTAATTCTAATTTAATCAGGGCCGCAAGATCGGCTGAATCACCAACCGCTGGTGAGAGGGACATCGAATTCAGCGTCGCCTCGATCCTTTTCAAGACGGTCACGAACTCCTTTTCGCATCCATGCTGTTCCTTGACGGGCTTAATCTCCTGATCTAAGTCCCCTGTGTCATTTATTTCTCCGTCGAAAATCGTTGTAGCCACCATGCTGATGACGTGAATTTCTTTTGGCTTATGCGCACCCATGAGCATCCAGCCTAGTTCAGTGTTCTGAGCGCTGATGTCTTCAGCTTTCTTGATTCCCTCCTTGAGAATCGCTGCATATATCCGTGAGCCCAGAATTAGATCGATCGGTCCTGGTGTCATAAAGCAAGGATCTGCTATGAGAATGTTGTCCACATTAAAACTCTTGTATGATGCAGAACTGATCTCTGTTTGAGGCAAGAATCCTGTGAGTGACGAGAGTACCAGAGCGTTCAGCTCCAGCTGAAAGGTCGAGGGGAATCTTGGGGCCATGGTAAGACATATCTGATGTCGTGAAGTTGGAGCGGGTGCTCCAGCTATGCGTCTGATTGGTGCGTTGATCTTCACCCGAGGCAGAGCTAAGTCCTGAGCTGCTCTTTCTGATATAAACGAATCTCCAGATCCAGTGTCTATCAAAGCTCGTAGGAGTGTCCATGAACCATCAGCCTGTTTTACTTTAAGGAGAGCTGTGGGAAACAGTGGTGTTGCCGCAGCTGCGTGCAAGGCCAGTCGTTCCTCAAATTCATCCTTATTATCCCTGATGCTTACTAGAGCATCAGTGGGCTCCGCTTCCTCTTCTTCGAAATGTAACGTCTCATGATGTTCTTCGTCACATTGCTTGCACATATGAACCTTTGTGCACTCTTTGTCCCTGTCCTTTTTATGCCCGAGGTAATTTAGGCACAAGTCCAGCTTTATCGCCATCTGAAGCCTCTGATCTGATGTCAATTCCAGATATCTTGGACAGCTGGCGAATGTGTGCTCCTTTTTGCACAGAAAACATGCCATCTTTGGCTTGGTCGACGTGGAGTGATAAGATTTGTTGCTATCAATCTTATCCTTTCCTCCTTTCTTCTTCTCAGCGAAGTTCCTGATAGAAGACAGTACGAGATGTCTCTTGAACAGGAATTTAAGAAACTGTTTTACTGTAGGCACCTCGGTTGGCTCATCCAATGATTGTTCGAACAGCTGAATCGATTCATCATCCAGCTTCCTTATGCACATCCCTATTATCAAGGGATCCCAGTGCTCCGTGCGGTAACCTAGGCTTCCTAGCCCGGCGAGTGCTTCGTTGAGCCTGTCGTGTAGATCAACGATGTCCTTGGCGCTGCGGTATTCGACTCTCCTGACGTCGAGCAACAGATTCACATAATCAAAGGTCGTCTTCCTTTTGTGATCATATCTGTTTCTTAGCAAGTCCAGCGCCGCTTTGTAGTGATCACCTGTAGGCGAAAGGTGACTCACTAAACGCTTTGCGTCCCCCTCCAGGTAGGACAGAAGATACGACATCTTGTCCGTATCGCAATGGTTCGGATCGTTGTGAATAACGTGAGAAAACATTTCAAAAAATCCGCGCCACTCACTGGTTTTTCCACTAAACATGGGCACCTTTAGTGGCGGCAAATTTGGCCTCTTGTTCTCTCGCTTCAGCTCATCCATGACCATGCGCAACATTTGCCCTCTACCAATTTGAAGGATGAAAGGGCCTGAATCATTTTCCGCCGAGCGGAAAATATCGTCATTCTCCTCGTCGTCAAGGAAATTTGACTTGGAGCGGTCCTGTTTGCTCCTTGATCCTCCTGATTGAGAATCCTTCCATTCCAATGGTTTCTCCTTATGGGAATTATTCTTTTTTGTGACCACTTTTTTGTACTTGTCAGCCTCCTCGGCCTCTGTGAAACGCAAAAAATCTCCCTGGGTCTCTTTTAGTGTCTTATCATTGACGCGGGGCAATGTCGGGACTTCGCCAACAGAGTCGTCCTCTGAATCCTGAATGACACTCTTGCACATCTCCTGATATGCCTTTGACATGCCCTCCCGGGCCTCCTCGTGAAACGCTTTTATGTCCTCAAAAAGAGTGGTGCGAAAATATTGGTTGTCAGGCTCCAAATGTTCCACGAGAATCCCGTGATTTGTGGAAATGGTGGCCCAAAGCTTCTGGAGCTTGTTTTTGTGTATTAATTCCTCCAGCTTGGACTTCCAAGTCCTTTACCTCCTCCAGGAGTGTTTCCAGATCCTTGATGATCTTAATGCGCCTCTTGGCATGAATTTTTATCCCTCTGCGCAAACTCTTTGAGCGCTCGAGCAAATGATAAAGGTTTTCGCAAGGAAATTGGGGGAATAAAATTCGTCGAATTTAAGAAGACGTTAAACGACAGCAAAGACTTGGGTTTTCCGTGGTCTCGAAGGACCATGAAAGCGAGAAAAGGTGGAATGATCTCGGTGTGGCAGAGCTGGTGGCGAGATTCAGGAAAACCCTGGGAATCTCTCCTGCCGTTTGGGTCTTCTCTTGGGGGAAGGAAATTGCACCTCACGAGCGAGTATTCGCTCGAATGGGATGTAATCTCTTTAACCAAAGGTGACTGGCGCGAATGGATCGCGGCCGAGTTCCTTTGTGGGGTTGAGGGTGAACAATTAAACACTTGATTGCACTTAACACTTAATCTAATTTACTTTACTCAAATTAAATCAACAAACAATACTTAACACAACTTATAACAGGTAATAAATCAAATAAAAAGCGGCTCCTGCCTTAAATTTTGTGTGGCTCTTGCCGTTTGCTACAATAAACACTTCTTAGTGTCGGTCTCTTGACCACCAAAATGCAAATAGTTCAGCTACTGCATCACCCAATGTTCTGGGTTTCAATGCAAGGCCCAAGGGCTCTTTCTGTGAACAATTGCGAACGACGACTGACTTTAATTGTCGCCCGCGTCTCAATATATTGCAAATTTGTTTACGCTTCTCCTGAGGGAAGAAGTGTAAACGGCGGGAGTGGGAGAACTCTCCGCCCTTATTACTAGATCAGCAAAACTGATCACAGCGTGGGTCGTCCCCGCTGTTCAAGTTAGCCTAAAATTAATTATAATGGGAATTATAAGATGGGAATTATTGATACAAAATTAACACAAATAAACCCTGTTCATTTCTCATGAACACACAGGATTTGCATCTCTTCTTATTTCCACAGAAACCCTTTGTGTGTCCGTATCGCAAGCAGTGGTCACAGAACATAATCCGCTGATTATATATATATATATATTTTTTTTTTTTGTGTTTCGCATTTTATTCACAATCTGTATAGTGTCATACAATAAGCGAATTTTAGGAGGAGCAGGATATCACAGTCATGAGAAGAATAGCTCCAGTGAACTATCTTCATAAATAAAACTTTTTATACTTAAAGTCAGATATCGCGAAGCGAGATCATTCTCTCTCGCTTCAGCCGTCCCCCAGACTCGTGGAGCAGGAGGCGTTGGGCGTGGAGATTAGGATGAGCATCTAGGCGTTTCTTGTAGGTTTTAGAGAAGTTGGAGATCTCCTCCTTCACCGCAGGCATATCCAGATCCTTTCTGATGATGTCGTTCGGGACGTACCATGGGGCGTCCAGGATGATACGCAACATTTTGCTTTGGAAGCGCTCTATGATGTTGATATTAGACGCCGAAGCAGCGCCCCAGAGCTGGCAGCCATAAGTCCAAATGGGCTTCAGCATAGTCTTGTATAAGAGCAATTTGTTGTCCGTGGATAAGGCTGAGTTACGTCCAAGAAGCTAGTACATTTTGCGCAACTTCTCTCCAAGCTGAAGCCGCTTTGCGAATATGTGTTTTTGCCAAGTAAGACGACGATCCAAGTGCAGGCCGAGATACCTGACACTCTCCATAACTGGGATTTGCTGTCCATTCATGTAGACAGGGGGGCCTAATTCCTTACGCAGAGTAAAGGTGATGTGTGCCGATTTAAGTTCATTCACTTTTATCTTCCAAGCAGTAAGCCATTGTTGAGTCCGATTCAGGGCCTCCTGCAATGTTGCTGTAGCAGAGACAATGTCCCTATGACGGGACAGCAAGGCCGTGTCATCAGCATATGTTGCAGTTATGACACCATCAGTAGTTGGCATGTCGGCCGTGTAGATGCTGAACAGAACTGGACCAAGTATGCTGCCCTGCGGCACTCCAGAGAGGACCGGGCACAAGCGAGATACTGCTTCATTTTGCTTTACGTAGATGTGGCGGTCCTGAAGATAGGACATCAGCAGGAGGCATATCTGAGGTGGAAACGCCCTCTTGATTTTATGGATGAGTCCTCGATGCCACACCTTATCGAATGCTTGGCTTACATCAAGAAACACGGCCGCACAGTACTCCTTACTCTCCAGGGCGTCACTAGAAGGCTCAATGATGCGATGAATTTGCTCCAGGGTAGAATGTTTCTCCCTGAATCCAAATTGGTGATCAGGTATTAATTTACGTGACTCGATGTAAGGCATCATCCTGTGCAGTATCAGTCTCTCGAAAATCTTTGACATGACAGGCAAGAGACTAATAGGTCTGTAGGACGCCACTTCCTCCGGCTTTTTTCCAGGTTTAGGGCACATCATGACTTCGCCCACCTTCCACACGACAGGAACGTATGCCATCCTCAGCATAGCATTAAAAATCAGCCTCATCATAGAGATTCCGGAGCCAGGCAATTCCTTAAGGACATTTATGGTGACGAGATCGTATCCTGGCGCCTTTCCAGGTTTCATGCTCCGAATCACCTCCACAACTTCAGAGTCCTTTGATCTCTTGGCGGGAAGATCCAGCTGGAAGGGCGTGCTCAAGAACTCCTCCACAAGGCGCTCGTGCTCTGTCGATCCGTACGATTTCCATGGCTCAAATACGGCAGAGAGGTGATCAGCAAAAGCCTCCGCCTTCTCGCTATCCGCTCTGGCCCAGGATCCGTCAGCCTTTTTGATTGGAGGGACTCGAACAACAGGTCTCTTCAGATATTTAGTTGCCCCCCAAAGGCTTTGTTCATTTGCTTGGCTGGTGGACAAATTAGCCAGATATGATTGGATCCTCTCATTTTTCAGCTTGCGCATGATAAGTTTCAATTGGGCTGCAGCTCTGTTGAATGCCTTTCTATCATCCGGATGTCTAGTTCGAAACCATCGTTTCCTTAGGTCCCTCTTCTCGGCGATCTTTTCACGCACACTGCCATCCATGACCGTGTTGGCCCTTACATTCAGATCATGACTACCAGGAGTAGCCGCCCAGGCAGCCTGCTGTATGGTCTCGGTGAAATTCACAACGGCGTCCTCTATGTCCGCCACCGTCTTTAAGGGCACACTCAAGACAGTTTGATCATCAATTATCTGTCTGAACTTCTCCCAATTAGTCCGACCGTTGTGCAGAGAAGGTCTCCTCTTCTGAAGGACAATCTTCGTGTACATGGTCAAGAGAATTGGCGTATGATCCGAGGATAAATCATAGCAAGACTCCACCTTACACAGTTTTGGATCTATGCCACCAGAAATGAAGAAGTCAATTAAATCTGGGGTTTTTGCCCGATCAGAGGGCCAGTAAGTAGGTTCACCCGTTGAGAGATAATTGGATTTACTCAAATTGATCGCCTTCAGTAGCTCTCTGCCCTTAGCAGAGGTCAACCTCGAGCCCCAGCAGGTGTTTCTAGCATTCATGTCGCCACCAGCTATGAATCTGCCCCCCAGTGTCTTTAGATACATCGTGTACTGAGCCTCCTTGTTATTATGTCTTGGGGGGCAATATAAAGCTGAGATCTTCAGCCCGCCAACGAAATCCTGAATCTCTAAAGTTGTTGCCTGTATATGCTCTGCACAAAAGCCCTCCAGTTCAGTATGTTTAATACTTTCTTTGATAAGAATGCCCGCTCCTCCGTGTCCTCTGCCACTAGGGTGATTTGTATGATAAAATTTATATTTCGGAATGCGAAAGAAGGACTTTTCCGTGAAGTGTGTTTCGCTAATCAACATGATGTCGACCTTGTGCTCAGTCAAAAACATTACAACTTCCTGTGAATGGTTACACAGGCCATTTGAGTTCCATGACGCAATTTTAAGCAACTCAATCATTATTAATTAAGCTTAGAGAGGACGGTATTAAAGATGTTAAGCATATTTGATACTTGTTGCATGAGCGCTTTCATCATATCTCTCAGCTCGGCAAAGCTATCAGCCTCCGCACGAGAGTCACGATGGGGCAGATTTTGAGTTTGGGGTTTTGTTTTTGACTTACCCCTGTTCTCAAGTACCGCAGCGTAGGATAAGCCTTCACCCAGATTTGCATTAGCCGATGGCGCTGGCGCATTCTCTCCATCGTTCTCCGGATGATAGCTGTTTGTTCTGCGACTTCTGGCCGCCTTGAGCTGGCCAAAAAGCTTTTGGTGAAGCGCCTTATAGACAGAGCAGCCCTTATAGTTGGCTGGGTGATTTTGCTTGCAGTTTGTACATTGTACATTGTTGTCCTTGGTTTTCCGTCCACAATCCTTAGACAGGTGAAACTCGAGGCACTTCACACAGCGAGGAGTCCTCGTGCAGAAAGCCTTGGTGTGGAGGAAGCTCTGGCACCGTGAGCATTGCGGGATTGTCTGTTTGCGTCTAGGAGGCTCAAATTTGACGATACAATTTAACAAGGCGTTGACCTGGTAAATTTCCTTGTTATTGGCATTGGTCTCCAAGTCCACATAAAACATGGGAAGAGGACGTTTCTCTGTACGGTGCGTGATATTCCATATATTGATGACCTTGTGACCTTTGGCCAGGAGCTCCTCCTTGAGAGAGTCAAGATTCATTGAGTGATGCATGTTTCTGAGAACTACTCGGAAGCTTCTGTCTTTCTTGAGCTGGTAGGAATGTAGCTCAGTATTTCTACTCTTGAGTTCTTTCATCACAATTCTATATGCTTCTTCAGAGTCAGTTTGAATCTTGACTTGGTCATTTTGGAGTGCTTTATGAGTGAACCTGCCAGGCACTACAGTGTTCAAAACAGTCAGTAATGGGTTAATTTGTC